TGAACCGTCGTTCTATTTATTTAATATTAAACTGAATTGTTTCGCGGACATCGCAATGGTACATTATTTTATCAATTTATATAATTAAGATAGCAAACAAGAAAAAATTAACTTATTTTGAGATGCAGAAAAAAATTCGCATGATTTCTTGCTTTTAACATTATAATTCAATATGATTGCAATAAAAAAAAAACAGGAACTTCAATTCAAAATTACTTGAAATTTATGAATTGTTAAGACTTTTTATCATAGACGTCGTTGAAAATTTTCTTCAATTGGCTTAAATTTACGGTTAACTTTCGAAGTTTTACAAGTCAAATGTTATTAAACCTCAAATATTTAATTATGTGTTTTTGTGCGAAGCTCGAGTCTCGGAAACCATTTTCACTGGCGATGCATTCGTTTTACGGCTAGTGCGGCTTGTTGCAGAGCCGTGTCGCGTTTAATGCACGTCAGATATCGCGCCGTATTGTAAAACGGCAATTAACTTCGCGGTAATATCACGCACACGCGCACGTCCTGCTGATTCCGACATCGACAAGCAATGACTCGCCGAGTAAACGTCGTTTCAGGCTGGCCTGGATATCTGATTTTCCATTATTACGATTCTCTTCCGTCAAGCAAACTTGCACGTATTAGCTAATTAAATTTTATAATATAACAAGATGTGACAAAACAGTCATGTGATGGATTATCGAGCAATTCTGCAATTAATTTTACAAATCAACCGCCGATGCTTTCAGATCGTTAATTTTTTTTTTTGCAAACATTAACAGAATTTATATTAAATGCTATAGCAATCGCATTATCGTGTAAATGCACGAATTTATAAGACGTTAATCTTTACTATGTGTATTTAAAAAAAGAGAAAAAAAATACGTTCAGATACTTTTGCTTATTTATCAAAGTAATACGCGCAAAAATCAAGCAACACATAATACGCCGTCATATTAATCATAATTTACGAGGAAATTATCTTCTTTCTTAAACTACTATGTTAAGACACTCGAAAAACCACTCTAAATACTCTGCGCACTGGCGACACAGCCTACAAGACCTGTTACATTTTTCTTTGTTTAATTGCACGCGTATCCGCGCCGAGGACGGCCGCTATATCGCGAGGCATACTTAAGATGAGGATAAAAAAAAGGATCGCTGTATTATACCGAGCGTATACGCGAGGAATGGCAAAAAAGGGCGGTACCGGTCCCCACTGTGAAAACGCCAAAACATAATATTACAGTTTTATTCACAGCGGCCAGTGTAAATATGCAAGATTATGAGCGCCGCGCGGCTCGGGACGTGTAAGCTAAGCGCGCGTTCGCGATGAGATTTGTGCCTAATTCCGCGAGTGCCTCGTCCCTGCATCGAATGACGTATCGTTTGCAACGTCGTTGCGCAACGTGGAACCAACTTGGAGACACAATTTTTTGAATTATAATTTCTCAAAAAAAAAAAGTTTTGATCCAAAATCGAAAAATAATACTGATTCTTTTTTAACCCTTCAACAATCGGCAATTATATTTTTCTCTTCTTTGTCGGGCACAATGTTGGCGCGCGAGACACACAAGGGAGCCTTGCGCAACCCCAGACGCGAGCGGCTGTTATAGCAGCGCAACTCTGCAAAACGCAACTCACGCAGACACAAGCGTCCGTTCTCTCGCTTGCACGCCACGCTGGTGGTAAAGCACGGCCATGCTCGCTTCCTTCCACATTAAATCTCGAGCGAATCGCGAATCCTGTGGGGAATTGCCGCGGGGCACGCATCGGTCGTCTCTTTCAGCGTGTTGCTTTCGTGTATCGAGGCGATTCGGATCACGAAGTCGCGGCACTCCAAGGTGGGGCAACGTTGAATGGCGTATTATAGGCATGTGGGACCGAGGCTTGCGAATCTTCGTCGCGCGGCACTCAGTCTCCCATGCCACCTGCGATCGTGAGTAACTCTCAATGACCTAATGTGACTTCATACTACCTGCATTGTGATTAACTAGCGCGACTTTAACATGACGCATCATGTATTTGTTTTCCTTCCTGTGGCAGTCAGAGCTAATCGAAAACATGAAAGAAGTCGACTATACTGTTCTAAAAAAATATTTAAGACAAATTTTAAGTTAATGAGACTCTTAAAAACAAGTAACGGAGAGTTTTTCAGATTTACTTCCGTATTAGCGAATTAGAAATGTATCTTGATTTTAAATCGAAGAATGTTAATTCAGATTCATGATTTTTTGAATTTTTAATTTATAAAATATAGAGTGTTTTGATGAAACACTAAAGCAAAAGATGCTAAGAATAAAGAAATTCCAAAGTTGAGCACATGCTTAAATAAACCCTGTTTATTCTTTCCTCTTTTCTTATTTTTATTATTCTCTGTTCGTGCTCTGAATTCATGCCTACCGGTATTTCCCATATTAAGAAGCACCTTGCGCATATGCTACAAGTGATCCAAAAACTATCTGATCTACATCTCGTTCCCTACATTACCCTAATACTGAAAGCATGTGCGCGTTGAAGAAGTGTCTTTTCTAAATTCCCCCCTTTGGATAGGAATCCCGTTGCTGATGTATGCTTTCCGTGGGTGCATTCCGTCTACATTTATAAGAAACGCACAATATTACAAGCGCGCATGGCTCGTATAAAATGCAAGCACAGGGACACGGTTCGCACTGCTGTTTAATAGGAAGCCGCGAACTAGATCGCACCAACTCGCAGCTCATATTTATTGCCCTGCGGTGGCCATGAGGGATGGCTTGCGCATAAAATTAGTGATACACGTAATTGTTATCGCTTATATACCGGACGGGCGCGGTGATAGCGGCTAATGTACGCGCGCCTTTCGTGCGAACCTGCGCGCATTTTATAATAAACGGGGAAAAATATACACGCTTCCCTCCCCTTATATATATGTGCGTATATATATCTTATGAATTTACAATTCAGAAATTCAGAAATTTGAATTAAACATCCTTCGGTTGGAAATCAAGATATATATATTCAAATTCACCACTTCAGAATTCCTGTACTCAAAATTTCTAAATTCGCTTCCCTTGTTTCCTTCTATTCAAAACAGATAGCATATTATATCACATTACAATCTACTTAATTAAATAAAAAGAAATTTTAAATTCAAATTAATGTCTCACTTTACACTGTGTTAAAAAAATGTATACGTAACGTATTCAGGAAATGTAAACTTCAGTCTAATCTCCGTTTCATCATGAATGGTCTATACGCTTCAGTCACTCTTGTGGCATCGATGAGCACGCGGCTGCTCGCTTTTGGATAAAGAGAACAATTAAGGAAATGTTGGAGCGTCCGAACGAGAAGCGTGCATTTTTGTACAAGATAATAAGAAACGCGTGTTCCTCGCATTCCCGAGGAGCGGAATAAATTTCTTGGCCTCATGGTTCGCAATTAAGCAATGTCGTTTCATCATCGTTTATCGTCGGTTAACCTTCATTTTTAGTCTAGCCGTACAGCTTATAAAGTATATTTGAGTAAAAAAAAAGTTTGCGAAAATTGTAAAAATGGCAAGAAATTAAAAACTCAGAAACAAACTGACGATTTCAGATTTGAAAAAATTAAATTAGTAAGCCCACGATACTAAGTCTGAAAGTTTCAAACTTCAAAAAAAGTATATATTTTACTTGATTATAATTAAAAAAAATGAACAAGTCAAGACGGATGAGATGCTATCGCGGTTAGCAAAGAATTTAATGTTAAATACTTTGCAATTAAATCTTAAATTAAATTGTCTAGAATAATTATGGCGAGGATTCTAATTCGAAAAACGAGATTCGGCTAGCAGATAAAGAAAGTGAATAGAAAAGTCATGAAAAACCAGGCGATGAAAACGCGGTCGGCTGTCAAGCATTTAATTACCAATCAGAGACGCTAGGTTATCGCGTGGTTGATTCCCGGCTGCGAGTTTCTGCGAACTTCCTATGAAACGCTGCTACAAGGTAGCCCGAAAAGATGACGATTAGCAGCACATGTACAATTTTTTCGACAAATTCGTCAAACTTTTTTCAATGAAAGAGATTTAACGAAAAATTAAAAATAATTAAAAACGTTTAACAAAAAAGTGCTTAGAGACTGAATATTTCACACTAGAACTTTCACTAGAACTTTATTTTTTATATTTCTCTAGATTTATTTTAAATAAGATTTATCGCGATACGCGAGTCTTTAACGCGTCTTTTGATCGCTGGCACTTGGAATTGCGTTGTATTAAATGTCGACGAGTGAAAATTCAAGTTTAATTCACATCCTTGCGATTACTACCGCGCTCCTCTGGGACACCCTGTACAACGCGTTCACATAGAGCGCTTGTGCACGCGAATGCACCATATTTGTTGCCCGCGCGCGTTAAGACACGTCGGCCTTTTTATTATTACATTGTGTATACGCGCGCATACACACAGCTGTACATCACTCGCATAATCACCATCAGATAGCGAAGCCGCGATCCGTCGATGACAGGAACACGGTAGACGCACTCGAGCTGCTTCCCATTCTCGCGTTCATGCTCGGAAATTACCTTTGAAATTACCTTCCTCCCTTTAGAGTCATCCCTCCCTCTCCCTTCCTCCTCCTCCTTCTCTGTCTTTCCTTCTTCTTCACGGCGATAATATGATGCGACGGTCTGCTTCGATGACGCGCACCGGAAATCCCTTTGAAGACGCGCACCAGAAGCTCTTCCGATCTTGATGAGAACTCAAGCGTGCAATGAGAGATTTAGCGTGCAAATTCGTATAAATTTATAGAGAATGTCTCGGCGATCAAGAACCGGAATGGATGTCGGACTCGAAGTAACAAACGCCCGATACCGAATACGTTCTCGAACACATCGGGATATTCGTCCATCGAGAGAGAGAGAGAGAGAGAGCTGTCGTTCCGGCAGAAACAATCCGTGGGAGTCGGCACTCCGGTGTTCGCATGAATCCTGCCGATTCGAGGACGAAATTCGTAAGTTTGGCCGTTACGCCGTGCCGTTAGAATTCGCGAAGAACGCGCGAAAGCAACGCTCTCGCCTAATTAATATCTGCAGTTAAATCTGGGATCTAGATCTGAACGAACCGCTAGCTCGTCAGCCAGCCAGCCAGCCAAGCTGTACCGGCTCCCTGATTCCGTTGCTCGTTGCTGTTGTTTCCAGCGTCGTCGCGTTCGTGCGAATGTTCACTGACCTGACTGGTTGAAGTGCGGCTCTAGATTTGTGAGTTTTTGAAGTCCAACCTCAGTTCAGTCATTTGCGTGAGACACGTAAATCTAATAATATATACACGCGTAGAAGCATTGCAGACTTGGATTAATGGCATCATAATATTCTTCATGGCTCCGTTCTTCTTCATGTAGTTCATTAACTCACCCGCTGCCCTTGCACCTGTTACAAGAATAACATATAATCTTCCCCAATGACGGACAAGATGAAAATTCTTTACAAAATTCTCTTAGCATACTTTCGATTGGATAACCGGAATATCTAGCGTTCGTCATTTTCCTTTGCAACTCTTGTATCACAGGCATGTGGTTACTGAATTTGATCGCATTCTTTTGTGACATTATTACTAACGGAATATAATAGTCCTTGCACAAACAGTATCTGAAACACGATTGCACGATTAGAACTTTTGTTAAAAATCTATAACAGATGTATGATCTTATATTATCTTTTTTCAAAGACAATGATATAAAAGACAATAAGAAGAAAAGCACAATTACTAGAGAGTACAAGAACTATGGGTTATTATAGAGCATTGTGCATACATATGCTATCTGAAAAAAACATTTGTAGCAATCACAAAGTGTATATGTACATGCCGTCTTAACCTATAAATTTGGCAAACCGGGCTGATAGCATCTATTTCGCGTTGTTATGTTAAGTATCGAAAGAATTAATTTTGTTTTTGTAATTAATTGATAATATCTTTCAAATTAATTACCTGAAATAAATGATCTTGGCCTTATCAAACGTGCTAAACTCTTTCTTTTCACATGACACTTGTTCACTGCACTTTTCCATGAGAGGTTGACAATCTCGATAATCGATCTATGCGCACATGATCTCCGAAGAATTCCGACATAGGCCGACCGGTGTTACTGCCACACAATCTATAGGTGATTCAGGTCATTGCCTTTTCCACATGACTGATCAATCTAGGTCAATTATTAATAACACCTCCGCATTCCACGCGGCGCATCTTCAGTCTATTTATAGACAGCAAACGTGCCGAATTTTGGCACGCTGTAACTCAGCGAAAAATTGACGTAGCGACATGAGACAAAAACGGATGCACATACTCTTATCATGACACGCATATACGCAGATAATAAATGTTGTAAATTATATTTCTTTTAATGGCATACTTTATTATAACAATCATTATACCTTTATGTTGATTTCTTCACTCAAAAAAATATTTCGCTGATGTAGTTAGATTTCTAGATATCACAACAAGAATGTATCGCTATTTTTCGTATCTGTGAAAACATTGTTTGTCACATATAGAATTTATAGCAGTAATATTCTAGCAATAGCTTCTGAAAAATTTAAGTACCATTGCTAAATGTTATTCACATTGCATGATCTAACACGTGATTGATCTTATATAGATAGGCGCTTTAGAGAAACTTTCTTTTTAAAGTTCACAAACAATACAGATATATATTCTGTTTCTGTCATCTAAACTGATTAAGTAATTACATATGCAATATCACAACAGTTGCTAATCATTTATCTATTTTAGTTAATTTTTTACACCTAGAAAATTTTAGCTATTATTGCAAGATCATTTTTTTGAGTGTTTGACACTGAGGATAGCTTGATGACAAGCTGAAGTGTTTGTGATATGATGTTTTAATAATAGAATGCAATTGTTGCACACTAATATCTAGTGTTTGCCTCCTTAAGCTCTTATAATTTTATTTTGTGATTATTCAATCGGCAGAGCCTTTTAAACTTTATTTTAAAGTTTAAAATTGAAAAGCTTGTAAAAAATTTCGGAAACTTGATCGAAATCGTAAAATAACTACCCAGCCATGTCTAAAGTTAGGAGTAAAGTGTATTAGGGATGAATCGTAAAAATGCTTGTTCCACATTTTTTGTTTCCCCCCGCGAGAGGACAAAAAAGAAACGACCGATACAGTACGCTCATAGATTTCACGGTACAGCTGCGACGAGGCGGTTGTAAACGATAAATCCTCGCCGCGGTTGCAGCGGAAACGCGCGGATGTGTATCCTGCGGGAGTAAGAATTCACGGCGCAACAGCGAATCGTAATGATTCGTGCGCGATAGCTTTTTCTAACTTGCAGCGTGGTGTTATCGGTAATGAGTTTAGGGAAGAATGACGTCAGCATTTCTGGACAAAAATAAAAAAAGATTAGATATATAAAATACTTTACATAACTTCGCAAAAAATAGGAAATATTTTTTTAACAGTTTTTTTAATTTGTTGCCTGCCGTTACAGCGGTTTGAAGATCGATCAATTTTAAGCGCAGAACGTCTTATCGCAACTAAGCAGTGTAGACGAATGGGACTGAGTGCGCGCCATTAATGCGGCATCGTGCGTCTGTAGATAATTAATTTACATTATACTTTTGTAATTTAATAACTTTTTATTACTTTTTATGATTTAACTGGTTTATTTAATTTTAATTTTTATATTATTTCAATTTCAATTTTGTATGTTAAAAATCGCAGATTTCAAGTTTTCGAAACTGATTTGATTCTTTTCTCATACATTTGTTTCCAAATAACAGCTAAACAATTTCAGCAACATCCTAATTGTCTGGCGAGTATGTCGCATATTCGGTTTGGAATCGCCGGTTACACGCAGTATCGCGCCGCGTTTGCTGCGCTGCGACGCATAAACGCAGCGCACGAAATACGGCAGACTCATTCAGCGCTTCTCAATTCAGCGTGTAATACTAAATAGCAAAACAAGTCGGTGATTTTGCGGAAATCAATAAACCCGTTGAAAGATGCATGACAAATTTAATCACGCGAGTCTTCCGCAGTATCGAACGTTCTGCTATAAAGATTTTTAATTAAATTCGATATTCTTAGATCGTTAGATCCTGAAACTTCGAGGCGCCGATCCTCAGCTTTAAGAGTATTCCAAGAGAGATAAAATCCATTTTATTCAAATATGTTTGTTAATTATTTATTTTATCTGAGCGAGAACAAGTTGCGGGAGCAATATGTTGGTTTCAAACGCTTGCAGTTTTTTAAAGCTACTAATCTTGAACTTAATTCTGAAACATCTCCCGTCTGAATGCAGGCTGCTGCGCGATTTGAGTATCACTGTGCTACATTGAGACCGCATTCTTACTCCGGGCCACTCGGCGCGGCGTTTTGAAGACTGCATTTAGAGCGGCGACGCCGTGCAAGGAGATAACGCGCATGAAGAGCTGTCGGCCCGACCGGCGATTACGCTGAATAAAATGTCTGATTTGTGCTGCACTGCCACCAATTCCCGATCCCGTGCTCGAGGCGGCACGATGACCAACATTCCGTGCCGCGTTTATGGGCCTTCCATGTCGATCACGGATGATCGCTGCGGATGATCGTTACCCTTCTTCTCCTTCTCGCATAAAAAAAAAAATACAGAAGGAAAGAGAAAAGGGAAAGGAGGGGAAATGAGGAAGAGAGGAAGGCAGATACGTCGGCGAAGATGGGAAAAACGCGCGACTGCTGTTTATGGGATACTTAATAAGAAGTGTTATCGTCCAGCGGTGAAGTTAGATACAGTGACGACGAGGCACTCGCGTTGATAACTGCCACGGCTGTCATCGGGTATTAAGATGAAAAATATAACGGGGCTCCAAAGAAATCGACGAGTTACGGTATGATTTACGCTCTTGACTGGCCGGTCTGTAGCAAATAATACAGACACTGTAAAAAATTCGATAAGTTTAAACAAATAATAGATAATAGATTTACACTCACCTCTTTATCATTTAATCTCTCTACATGCCAAACGTATTGAAAATTGTACTTTTCTCACCGGTTCTATTTAAAAACGAGATGATAAACGAATCAAAACTGTTTTTACATAATTGTTCTTTACTTTTTAATTTTTCATAATAATTTTATACATAGCTCAAGCGCTGATATTAAGAATATTAAGTTCATAATTTTATTTGCAATTGTACATTTCAGTCATTAAAAGGTCAATTTTTTATAATTACATGTTTAGATATTACTTTGCTTAATATCTAAGTAAAATTTCTACAAAATTAATTTAGCACAACTAATACTTTATAATAAAACCTTATAATAAAAAATTAATTTGTTGCATCTCCAGGGATGTCACTTTCCATACTTTCCACGTCGCTTTTTTGTACGGGCAAGTAAGTAGGCTTGCGGAATCCAAAAAAGCCGAAAATACGTGATTCCAGTGTGAGTCGGCGCGTAAAAGTTAGGGCGCACAGGTAACGGGGGCATCAAACTCTTAGGGCCCGGACGGCGGACCGCTGCAGGGGGTCCAGTCATGCTGACATGTTTATCACACTCGTTCCCCGGACTCGTGCCATGCGTTATGCGAGCTTTGTGTTATACCAGAATGCGAGAGCGAGAGAGAAAGAGAGCCCGAGAGGTTTCACGTTACTGGCGACACAATGACGCTGTACGTGTCTCTTAACATTTCTCATCTCCGGATGCACTGACAGGAGAATGCTGCGCGCAGGATCTCGGCCGATAGCAGAATCTAGCGCGGACGTATCGCATGGATACGACGATCTCGGGAATCTAAGGATTCATAACAATTTGAAGGATCAAAAATATCTCAAAACTAAATTGGAAGGAATATATTGATTTTTTTTTCGTACTCTTGAAGTTTTTTACATCGCAATTTTGTCGTGTTTTTTTTCACGCGACGATATAAAATTTTTCTCCGCGACTCCTCGAATACCTAACAGCTGTAAAAAAATTTTGTTTGCAATTTACAAGTATTTAAATCTCTTACTTTTATTTCTTCTTTTTGATTTGTTTTGCAAAACACATGTTAGAGAAGCCGGATAAAAGTACCGTGCTAAAATCGTTCGCATAGAGAGACTTCGCAATAACGAGGCGAGACGGGTTGCGCAATCGCGTTAAGATCTGTCGATTGTGTGTGTTCCTCCGCGTTCGCGTGTCCCTGTCCCTCGGGTGCAACAAATAAAACGTTTTATTATTCATTTTCTGGTTATCAGCGTCGACTATCTATATTCCAGCCGCGATACTACCCAACGTCTACCCTTCGCCTCGCTAACTGATTCCGCTCCTTCTCACTAGTTCCTCCTTCAATGTTGTCTCGTTCCTCTTTGTCGATCGACCAGTGTAAAAGGATAATGCTCGTGGTAATGCTCGTACAGAAATGAGTGGAATTAAATCAACAAAATATTACATCGCATAATGTTTGAATGTATTTGAAAGATGTTGTTAATTTCACGATAAAGCGATTGTGATAATAATATTTATACTTAATGTATAGAATGTGTCAAAGGTGCTATTGTTAATTATCTGCTCTTCACGGTCGGAATTCTCTCAAAACACGACTATCTGTATTATCTAGATGCGCGACAATATTTCAGTCAATGATCCGTGACGCGAAAGACGACGCAGATAAGTTTTGACAGCGTTCCGAGATAATCGCCTGCCTTTATAAAGCTTGTACACGTACAGAAGATTCGAGAAGAATCGATTTTTATTTGTCATTGTGTGTGTCCAGTTCAATAAAATTATTTATTGTCAGTTCATTTCTCTTCACGAAAGCTAAATGTATTCTATATTATTAAGAAATACCGAAATTATATTTGTACGAGGACAAATAACTGTCAGAGTGCGTTTTAACAAAAGTATTTAAACGTATAAAATATTAAAATATTCTGCATTTTAATACGAATATTCAACATTAAATTTAAAGCAATAAAAACTGTTATTGAGAAATAAAAATAGAGAGTGATATAATACACAATTCAAAGCAATAATTCGGAGCATCTTGTAAAAAAAAGTCAACGTTGATATAATGCCATATCTGAAAATAAATCAAGTTAAATGCATACACATAATAATTTTTTACGCAATCAGTCATTCATATCTATTAATTTTTGCAATCAGTACATCAATTGCATTTAACGCAGTATAAATAATTCAAAAAATACTTGTTTTTCTTGATATAATCATATCATTTTTTTTAATATAGCCATAATTTGAGAATAATTTTATTTGATACATACAAATAGTACACCATTTATGCATTATTTTTCACGAAACCGTATATTCGTATAAAAGATACGCTGTAACATCTCTTTCGCTGAAATGTTATTACCATACATACTCGGCACGAGATATTATCACGTGTTTTGAATAGGTAGCTAGATTTGACGACCTATCAATATTTACATTTGAATGGAGAACCGTGCGAACTCTTTCTTGCGTCCTTTTATACTTTTCGACGGAAAGATTCTTGTATCGCGTTCAGTTACACGTGTGTAGTCACTTCAAACGGACACAATGTTACCAAGTATTGTAACTAAAAAGCATTTATGGAAATATTTTATAAAACTGCCGGACTTTAAAGCACAGTGCAAGTTTTGTGAAAAGAAATATTATTATATAAGCTTCGAAAATTTGAAAAAACACATAAAAGTATGTCATAGAAAAATTTTTATATACGAAGACAAGAGAAAACTAATAAAACGGTCGTGGATGTATTTCAAGTATTTAAACAAATTATATTCACAATGTATTATCTGTGACGCAGAGATTCTGTCCACATTAGAATCTGTAAAAAATCATTTGCGTTCGCATTCTAAAGAACAACGGGAGAAGCATAAACTTCGAAGTTGGCCACGGAAATATTGCACACAAAGAGATGATTTTCATGTACAGTGCAATATTTGTTACAACAACTTTTCTCTTTGTATTCATTCTAGTTTAAGTCGTCATGTAATAAAGACACATTCGGATAAAGTAAAAAATACGCAAGAAACGCATGACACAGTTTGTTCGTCCGAACGCGTTTCATCACTTGAAACGGACACATCGTCTATGTCACTAAATATTGCAACTAAAAAGCATCTGTGGAAATATTATGTGCAACTGCCGGATTTTGAAGCACAGTGCAAGTTTTGCGAAAGTAAATATATTTATATAGACGCGAAAAACTTTAAAAGACATGTAGCAAGAAAGCATAGCAAAATTTGGAAGTACGAAGAAAAGAAAAAACTAATAAAAGGGCCATGGATGTATTTCAAGTATTCAAACAAATTATATTCACAATGTATTATTTGTGATGGAAATGTTCTGTCTACATCTGAATCTGTAAAAAATCACTTGAGTTTGCATTCTGAAGAACAATGGAAGAATTGTATACCTTGCAATTGGGCACGAAAATATTTGACGAAAAGCGGTGATTTTGAGGTAGAATGTAATATTTGTCAGAACGACTTTTCTCTTTCTATTCATTCTAGTCTGGATCATCATATAAAAAAGACACATTTGGACAAATTGAAAAATATGCAAGAAAGACGTGGCACAGTTGTTTCATCAGAATGCGTTTCTTCGCTTGAAATGGACGCAACGTCTATATTACCAAAAGATTGTTATGTATTGTTAACGAGATGTCCACCTTATAATCTTTACATATGAAAAAATGCATAAAAAAATTTTTTATCTCGAAGAAAAAGTACATTTCACATCATTCGCGTAAAATGCATTATTTGTGATGAGAACATTTTATTTTTATCTAAAAATTTAGATCACTTACGCTCGCATTCTAAGGAACAGTTAAGAAAACATACATTTCAGAGTTGATTATTGTATTAAAAATATTATACCAAAGATAATGATTTTGATGTAGACTGTAACATTTGTCACAAAAACATATTCGTTGCAATTGAAACTCATTTCAACAACATATTAAAGATGAACATCATTTGGCAAGCCAACTAAACTGAATTAAAAAATATCCGTAAGTTTTATTACATTACTATTAATTTTATTATGTATAATTAAATTTCATCATTTTCAAATTGCATTGAAATTATTCATTATGTGCGTGTGCGTGTAATGATTAGAGAAAAATCAACAATTAATTTTTTTTTTTTAAATATTATGAATGTTTATACAGATTTATTCAGAAGTTGACAATACGATGATAACGGCGTTTATATAGCATTACAGCCAGCAATAATGACAGTCCTGATTTTGTAGATTTTAGTTTATTAAAAGATAGAGATAGGAAAAGTAATTAAAGTACATAGCTCTGTATTATTAATATTGATTTATATCTTCTATAATAACTTCTATAAAAGTTTCCGATTGTAATAACTTATAAAGTTATAAACATGATTATAAATTATCTATGTTTTATAGAAAATTAAGTCATATTTTTAAAATTTATTAAATATATTTATAAATTTGATTTATGTATCATGTTTTGAATTTATGAATTAAGTACGTTCACAAATTTATTAAGTCAAACGATTTAATGAAATAATCGTCGACATTTTTGTAAAGACAAAAATATCGACAATTTATTTAACAATATAATTTTAAATATTTCTATATAATTTTTTATATATATTTTGTTTATATATTTTTGTTGTTTTTTTGTACTTTATATAATATAAATTTATTATTATAACTTCTATAAAAGTCTCCGATTGTAATACATTAATTCTCGGTGAAATATATCAATTTAAATTTTGTAATTGTATTTGTTTGAGAAATTTTTATGTAATACATAATGCATTCGTCGTAATACAAATAAATTCATCATAGAAATGTGTGTCATTTTATTATTTAAAGATTTAAAAAAAAAAAAAACGCTTAGTTTTAATCGCTTTTTGCAAAGTATACGGCCACTTTAACAACTTAATAGCGATGTTCTTGGCTTACAATACTGGCGCCTCTTTTTGGAATGATCTTAAGAAAACAGAAAGTGTAATAGAAAAGCATTCCTTTCTTATTCTTCTTTTTCTAAAAAATTAGTAGGGCGCTTCGCGTTTGCTCGTGCCTAAATATTTTCTTAGGACATAAAACTCTTGAGATTTAGTAAAGGAGGCAATGACAGAGTAAACATAAAATTATTCTTTTATTCGACGAGATACCAAATTCGGAGCAGGTAGAAATTTCGCAGACAGTTCTACACATGTAACCCAAAATACATTTTTTTTCTGACTCGTCAATGGGTATAGTTAAAAAATAAATTTAAACCTGAATTTTTATTAATTTAAAAAACAATTTTTCATTACTTATTATTTTTTATATTTTTAAATTATAAGACATTTTAAAAATATAGAAAAAAGCGAGAAAGTGATTGAAAGTAATCGATGAAATCTGATTTTCATAAATGAAAATTTATAACTTTAGTCACGAAACAAATCTAGTCTATTTTTTTTTATTAAATTAATACTTTAAATTATTACTTGATCTGGTTGATGGATTAAAACTTTTTGCTGCAATATGATCTCATTTTGTAGAAGAGACAGACATGAAACCAGCAAAATATTTTTGTGGGCATCTAGCAAAAGTGTACTGTTATGAAATTTTCTCTTCGGAAAAAATTACTTCCGGTATTTCCAATATATTAATTCCTATAATCGTCCATTTAGCGATCTCTTCTGGTATCCTCTCTCGGATCGTAAAATCGTGCCTGTTTGTATAAAGTAATCTGTGGAATACGTGTGCATGAACTATTGAACGATCCTATATGCGGCTTTAGTGCGCGATTCCTTATCTATGCGGTCCCCGCGATACACCTCGCTGGAAATATGCATGCGTTGATGTTTAATGGTTTTCAGGCAACGGCGGGAGAGAAAAGAAAAAAAAGGAGAAAAGGTAGAAAGAAAGGTCGGTTGTTAAAGAAGATTTCCCTGCGATATATCTTCATTTACGCGCGGTAAATAACTTACGTAGCGCGTATCGTGTCACACTCTGGAAAAAAAATTGTGTCACCGCGACGGTCGGCTTACTTTTTCATCGCTTTTCCATGCCGTCGAATGTTGTCGAGGACTTTTCGACAAAATGACAGGCAGCGGAGACAATTTTTATCTTATTTGCATAGTTAGATTCTCGACGTTTATGTGTAAATTACAATAATTCACGCATAGATATATTATATCTATTTATATTAAACTATGCATCATTTATACAAGGCAAAGTAACTCAAGGATTATAATTTCATATGTTTGTTGAATTTTTGTGAATAACAAAAATATATATTTCTGTGGCTTAGCCACTCGCGCCCTGATATTTTTTCTCTCTTTCTTTCTCTCCAATAATTCTTATATGTAAGTTAATGTTTCTCGATATAAGAACAATATACTTATAATTTCGTACACATTAGGTATCTCGATGTGAGATGTACAATCTAACTATCTCTTGTAGACTAATTTATTAAATAATTCTTTATAAAAATAAATTAAAAATTTAGCACTAACATCCTGCGACGGCTCTCGATGCCATTCTATTATATTTGAAAAATATATATTTTATTTCAAAGACAATAACATTTTTTGCAACTTGTACGTATTATGCGATTGCATTTAATGCAGCGTTTGTATTTTTACGTTAATTTTCTAAAAATATATTAATATAAAATTTTATGCTGAACAATATTATATTAAAACATATGTTAGCACTATATGTTATTATCGTAATACTTTTCACATCGTTTTATGAAAGTATAAAATACACCAGCATCAGCTCGGAAAGAAGGAGGGCGGGCGAAGAAGGAAAAGGAAGGACGCGTCTGCAGGAGAGTAAGAGGCATCGAGTCGTTCAAGTCACATCACTACCGGCCGCTTGATAAGGCCGATAAAGCGCATAAAGAATGCTTGTCCCCGCGCTTTCCCTCCGCTTCCCCCCTCTCGTTGGTATCTTAATGTCCGTGCGGCCGACCTGTCTCCCTCTCGCTCTCTTACTGTTAATCTTCCTCCCCCCTCGTCCTCGACCCTCCCACTCCCGGCCGCCCTTTTCCTTCGCCTCGCCTCGTCGATGCCATAAATTATGCGACTGCACCGTGCGCGCAGCTGCGCCGATGCCTCTCCGACGATTCCTCTCGTTCCTCTCCCGGTGTCGTACCGGTGGTCCAGGATTGCCCCGGCCTCGAGAAAATCGACGCCGAACCGGATTAGAGGTGAAGATTAGAGTCGGATTAGAGGCGGATGAGCTGAGAGTTTGGATATGAGATACGATAGACCGCGGAATTTAATGCCACAAACCGGACCGCTATCACGCTATAATTTAAAGCGCTTTGTTCTTTCGGGTGGAACACAAAGCACCACCACACTGCATTTCCCTGTATGTGAGTTGTCAATAAGAAAGCTGTGAATGTACGATTTGCATTTTCGAAGAAGCAATTTAAAGGCAGGAAATTGATGAAAATAAAAACATTTTTATAGAATGCGATCAAATCGCGATACAGGTAGAAATAATTAATTGCTCGCGCAGAGCACACAAACATACAAAATTAGCTTCCCTAAACAAAATTTATTTCAGCTGGATCTAATATAATAATCCTTATAAATAAATCGAGCGTTGATCAATTTCTATATAACTGAAAACATCTAAATTCAGATATCTCTTCCGGTATTCTTTTTCAATGTATTTCAGTTCAGAAAAGGATAGCAAGATGAAGATATAAACAAACACAATAGGTGCAGGATTATTCGAGCCTTTTGTAACACAAAAATTTGATGACAGGTTTTTCATGTGTTACACGCGTGAAAACGCACACACTTGACCGGGTTTTTCATGGATGACAGGTGTTATAATGCCACCGTGAAAAGTTGAGGCAGCTGCTATTTTATTGGAGGTCAGCGATGCGTCGAGGAACATTTTACGATACGTGTGGTTGAGCAATGGATCTGAATGAGTTCCCAGTTATACTCATTTATAGTTCAATCGTTCAATCCTCGGGATCACGCTACATATTTGTTGAGTTCAGGATGAAAACCATAAACCCTCGGTTAGGAATGCGTCAATTGTAAAACAAACGACTTTATGGTTGGAAACGCGCGTAGAAATTTTTTTCCACTTTCCTTTCGTGGATTATTATAATTTGGCGGAGTCATGGAAAAAGAAGAATTTTTGTCGGAGTTGAAATTCGAAAAACAACAATAAAAAAAAACTTTCAGAAAAATTTACTGCAAAGATTCACTGTGAAGATTCATGAGAATATGTCAATTTAATAATATAACACCATATTGTGTTGTTTTTATGATTATAATAAAATTATAATTTTGTTGTTTGGAAATCTTGCGAGATAAGAAAAACAAGAATGCAGAAAGTTGAAAATTAAATAATTAATTAATTTTAATTAAAACTTGAAAAATTTAATTAAGTTGACATAAAAATTATTAGGTTTACTTAACGCAACGCTTATGATAAAAAATATTGATGCAATTTTGTGTGTTCGGTGTAATTGAAAACTGCTTGTTGCATAAATTAAATTATCTTGATTGTATAAATCTTGTCTTAAAGATGATAATTCGGTTGAAAAATGAACGAGCAAACAGAAATATCATTGGGAAGATATCGTTGATGTTTGCGCATGTTTTCGTCGGCGTTCGCACGCATTCACGTAATGCTCGGTCGAGTGCATCGAACGCACCGCTGCAACCGCTGCGTCGACGATGATGCACTCCGCCGCGCAAAGATGCGTCGGGTAGAAGCGCGGCGCAGCGTCACCCTCTTCACTCTCTCGAGGGGCTGCGCGCCGACTTGGCGTCTGATTGATATACGGACTGTTAAGTGTTTGCAATAACCGACGTTTATATCCACCTCCAATACACCCAGCCATAAATAACTGGCCACTTCGAGGTTTGCCCGCGAAAGCCCGAAGCTTCGAGAGATCGAACAAGACGCACCGGTGCGGACGTCGGGTTTTCGGCTGCATTTGCAAGTCAACACTAGATCATGGAAATAAAAATAAAGCGGACGCTTTGAACGTAAAACTAAATTTTAAATCGTTAAAAATATAGATTTTTTGTAACTGTATTTTAAGTTAAATTCTTCCATTTTTAAAGATCTTTAAACTTTTAATTTTTTAACTTCTAGAATTTTTAATTAACAATCTTGGTTACTATTTAATTCATGAAATTTTGAATTTTTGAGATTGGCGAGAAAGTGCTGTAAATAAATTTGAAAATTCGAGAGATGGAAAATAAGCAATGACAGCTGGATCTAAGGATCACAGGTGGGCGGAAAAACCTTTTCGAGGCTCGAAAAGGCACAAAAGGGCGTGACGACACGTTGAAGCTGAACACGTTGAAGGTAAACGGATGATTTCACACAAATTAAG